GTATGGCGATCTTAGCCACCCATCCACAAAGTGACTGCGGACAGCGTTGCTTCATGAGCACTATCGCTGTGCCGCGCTAGGGGCTATCTGAGCCGTACTGCTCCCTGAAATTATTTAAACAAATTATTATTTTCTTTGATTTGGACTTGTAGAACTCATTTTTAGGGACATTTCTTCGAAAATTGCAACCACTTTTCCAGAATCACCAAAATAAAACCTGACCAATTTTTGATCATTTTCAGAACATTTTCTAAAATTAGTTAAAGATTTTTTTTGATGTTGATTTCGACGTACAGAAGTGATTCTAGAATGAGATATGGCAATTTTTGTGGATAAACATTTTTAAAATTTGTTTTTGAAACAGAAAATTTCGAATATCTTGGTCTGGTTCATCAATAGGTTGCTTTTTAAAATTGGCTCATTTAGATATATATCCCAGATTTTATGAAGTATTTTTAGGCAACTTTGGCAAAATTCAAATTTTCAATTTTGCAATTTTGAAATTTTTAACCTTTTTCCGAGCCCTTCTAAAAATTACTTAAAGAGATTTTTTCGGCGATTTCAACTTGCAGAAGTTATTTTCAGCTTCATGTCTTCGTAAATTGCAATCACTTTTCCAGAATCACTAAAACAACAAAATATGGCTAATTTTTGACATTTTTTCGAGCACTTTCCAAAATCACCCAGAGATTTTTTTATTGTTGTTGATTTCCACTCGCAGAAGTCATTTTCGACAACATTTCTTCGAAAATTTACACCACTTTTCCAGAATCACTTAAGGAAAATTTGCCCAATTTTGGGTTTTTCCGAGCACTTTAGAAAATTATTTATTTGGAGATATTTTTGTTGATTTCGACTTTTAGAAGGCATTTTCAACAACATTTTTTCCGGAATCACTAACACAAAATTTGACCAATTTTTGACCTTTTTCAAAGTTATTTTCAGCTTCATGTATTCGAAAATTCCAACCACTTTTCCAGATTCACTAAAATAATAAAAAATGGCCAGTTTTTAACCTTGTTCCGAACACTTTCGAAAATTATTTAAAAAAAATTATTTTTTGTTAATTTCGACCTGCAGAGCTCATTGTCAGCAACATTTCTTCGAAAATGCAACCACTTCTCCGAAATGACCAAAATAAAACCTAACCAATTTTTGATGACTTTCCGAACGCTTTTGAAATTTACTTATTAAAGCCATTTTTTTGTTGATTTTGACTTACAGAAGTGGTTTTTGACGACATTTGTTCGAAAATTCTAACCACTTTTCCATCATCGCTAGGATGAGATATGGCAATTTTGGGGATAAATATTTTTTTGAAATTCTTATCCTTTTTCCGAGCACTTCTAAAATTACTTAAAGAAATTTTTCTGGTGATTTCAACTTGCGGAAGTTACTTTCACCTTCACATCTTGTCCTGACCTGACCTGACCAAATTTCAACCACTTTTTCAGAATTACTAAAACAACAAAATATGACTAACTTTTGACTTTTTTATTCGAGCGCTTTCGAAAATTACCCAAAGATATTTTTTTTGTTGTTGATTTCGACTCGCAGAAGTCATTTTCGACAACATTTCTGCCAAAATTTCCACCACTTTTCCAGCATAACTTAAACAAAATTTGCCAAATTTTGGCTTTTTCCGAGCACCTTTAAAGATTACTTGGAGATTTTTTTGTTGATTTCGACTTTCCGAAGGCATTTTCAACAACATTTTTTCGAAAATTCCAACTACTTTTCTGGAATCACTGACACAAAATTTGACCAATTTTTGACCTTTTTCCGAACACTTTCAAAAATTATTTTCGGCTTCATGTATTCGAAAATTCCAACCACTTTTCCGGAATCACTAAAATAATAAAATATGGCCAGTTTTTAACCTTTTTCCGAATGCTTTCGAAAATTATTAAAACAAATTTATTTTTTGTTGATTTCGACTTGCAGAACTCATTTTTAGCAATATTTCTTCGAAAATTTCAACCACTTTTCCAGAATCACCAAAATCAACCTGACCAATTTTTGATCATTTTTCGAACATTTTCTAAAATTACTTATTACAGACATTTTTTTTGTTGATTTCGATTTGTAGAAGTGATTTTTGATAACATTTGTTCGAACATTCTAACCACTTTTCCATCATCACTAGCATGAGATATAGCAATTTTTGGGGATATATATTTTTTAAATTTCATTTTGAAACGCAAAATTTCATCGTGGTCTGGATCCATCAACAGGTTGTTTTTAAAATTAGCTCATCTAGATTTATATACCAGAATTTACTATGTATTTTTAGGCAACTTTGCCAAAAATTCACATTACAATTTTGAAAATTAAAAATTTTCGATCTTTTTCCGAGCACTTTTAAAAACTGCTTAAAGAATTTTTTTGGTAATTTCAACTTGCAGAAGTTATTTTCAGCCTCATATCTTGGTAAATTCCAGCCACTTTTCCAGAATCACTGAAACAGCAAAATATGAGTAATTTTTGACATTTTTTAAACAACTTTCGAAAATTACCCAAAGAGATTTTTTTTTATTGTTGATTTCGGCTCGTAAAAGTAATTTTGGGTAACACTTTTCCAAAACCACTTAAACAATAAAATTTGCCCAATTTTGGCCTTTTTCTGAGCACTTGAAAATTACTTAGTGATTTTTTTTATTGATTTAGACTTTCAGAAGGCATTTTCAACAACATTTTTTCGAAAATTTCAAGCATTTTTCAGGAATCACTAAAACAAAATCTGGTCAATTTTTGACCATATTCAGAACACTTTGGAAAGTGACTTAAAGATATTTTTTGTTGAGTTGAATTCTGACCGCTTTTCTAAAATCACTATGATGAAATATGGCAATTTTTGGGATAAATTAAATTTTGTTTTAAACGGAAAATTTCGAGTATCTTTGTCTGGATCCATCATCAGGCTGTTTTTCGAATTAACTCATCTAGATTCACATCTCAAAATTTTCTGTGTATTTTTAAGAAACATCACCAAAACTCATATTTTCAATGCTTCCTTCTGAACTGTTTGGTCTTTTTTCGAACATTTTTGAAAATTACTAAGGACTACCAAAAATCACCCTATTGTGTTTTTTTTGCGAACCGTTAGTTGCCAAAAAAATTCATGAAATTGGAATAATGTGGCATCCGATTTTCAAAAATAAGTGGGGTATTACTTCTCGAAAACGTCACACTCAATAAAATTGAAAATAATTTTATTCTATAGTTGCTATTCTTGTATTGTGTACTTGAGAAACAGAGAACTAGCAACTTTGGACCGGAAGATCTTGTAAATATAATATATTCATACTTGCCCCTTGCTACTCAAGGAACCCCACAATTTTTGTCTTTTTAACGTTTTCTTATACTTTTAATGTTAATAAGATTATCAAAAAACGCGGGCTTTGTGAGTCACCCTGTATGTGAGCGTGGGAAAATAAGTAACCAGTGTAAAACACAAGCACGGAAATAAATCAAGATCTAGTGTGAAAAAATCATAACAATAAAAAACATTCAGAAAGAGCAGACTTCCTGTCAGATCATATTTTAAGATTGAAAATGAAACATTTCCTCGAAAAACATTAAAACGTTTACTATTTTAACATCCCGATGTTGCAACCTTGTCGACACCTCAAATCAAATTTTGTGTTTTTTTTAATGTGATGTCATCTCAAAATATTCCTAAGTAAATCCCAGTTTCAGAGTACAGCTGCAAGTTTTAGCTTCACGGATCGTCGCCCACAAAAAAAGTGTAATTTATCTCAGAGATTACGTAGCAGATGTTCGGTTTGCTAAAAATTACATCTATTTAATTCTAATATATTGTTAAAATTAATTTATTGATCCTTCAAAAAATGCATGACATCATCTAAATACGTCAATATAAACTGGAAAAATCACACCCTGAAATGTAATAATTCTGCTTGTGCATTTCAAAAAAGAAAAACTAATGTATGCAACATTATTAAAAAGTTGATGTCATCTCAATAAATCTTGTAGCTTGTTAGTTGTTACACCATCAAGCCAACATTTTAACGAATTTGAACCGAGCCGATGCATACCACTGCAGATTCGAGATTTTCGTAGGTGGTAATCAAAAACTTCCACAAATCTGTGTGAAACCAGTTATTTTAAAGTAATGTAAATCACAAGATTGCATTATAAGCTAAAATACTAACATTTAAACATTCGTCTTTTAAAGGTTCAATCGTGTTTAAATTTTTAGTTCGGGAGCTTAACTGAACACAATTCTGATGTACCGGTTGCTGAATTGCAGGACTTATACAACTCAATTTGAATAATTGGCATGATTTCCTGCCGTAATTATTGTACAGTAAACTCGTAAGAAGAAAAGTTGCAGGGATTAAGAGGTAGTTTCGAAACCACTTTTATTTTTTCTTTATCTTTATTAATTCTGAAGTAATGAAACCAGTAAAATTGTAAAAAATGTAAAAAACACCATTTACTGTTATCGAATCGTCGTAAAAGCGACATTTAATTTATTGTCCGTGTAATTTCACGGAACCCATTTTCTCTTGATTTGAAAAAGCTGCCGCGCTCGCGTTATTATGCAACGGAAGAGAAAATTTTTCTAAGAAAATTATAGTAGTGTAGAATTTCCCTGCGAATCGAAGCGTCTACTGCGTTTTATCTCAAGAACAATACGATAAATTGTTGAATTATCTAAATAAAAAATTCTGTTGTGTAGTAGTCCACAATTTCAGGCAAAGGCTAGTTAACATTTTACTGAATGCCATTTTTTTTTAGTTATATATGTCTAACCCTGCAATTATGCCATCCAGCCCCATAAAAAATTGTTATAAATCAGTTTATTTTATTTATTTATTTATTTATTTATTTATTTATATATGAAAACTATAATGACGAATATCCACAGATTCATGTTAAACTAAATAGAATGTGTGCAAAAAAATCTCTTTTTTTAAACTTTATAAACATTTTTACACTGCCAATTTATAATACTCTGTTACGTGTCACTAATCCAAAACGTCCGGAAATGATGGTTCATTGCCATCACGCGACAACGTATGTGTAGAATTAGTTCAAATCTGGAATTTAATTAAACATTCCACTTAGTCATCACAGTAGGTAGTAAAGCTTTTATCAGAAACGGAAGTTTTTGGTTTTAAAATTTTCATCAATGAGTATTGTTAGTGCGCAAAAATTAACTAAGCTCTTTGACATCGCCAAATAAAGCCACCAAAACCATTCAGGCCTCCTATATTTATTGCTAAATCATAGCCCGTCAATCACAAAGACATGGAGTTTCCCGCTGAGAGATTGATGTGATCTCATGTATAATTTCCACTATTCGACATTCGCATGTTTCACGTTACTTCTTTTTTTAGAAATAATTACCGAAAACTGAGACTGATTGTTACTCTTGTTGTTGTTATATGTACAGTTATATATTTTACTTTTTTGTCGATTTTATGACTCATCGTCCATTTTGAATATCACCTAACTGTGCTGTAGGTGTCCAGTACAGCAAACTTGTCCATTGCGAATACATAGTAACGTCACTTGTAAACATCTAATGTACCAATTCAGAAGCAATCAGTGTTATTAGGGCAGTGTTGGATGTCTTCAGTCAATCATCTTACGCAACACAGTACTTCTTTTTGTTTTCTGAGAAGCTGTTGACAGTGCGAGTGACGGTGTGAATTATATTTAAATGTCCAAAATGGTAATTAAAGTTTTTCTTACGTCCTGTGTTTACCACGGTCGGTAATTAAGTCCCATAGTTAATTTATAACACGCAAATGCGAAAGAAGTGTCGCATTATAATAAGTACCAGTGTAGGATTGCATTCTTAAAATTTTGATTTAATCTGGCTTAAGTCACTTTGCGAGTAATGAATTTTGTTAACTCATTAGTTAGCATGTCTAGAATGCTAATTCGAAATAAAATGTATTGTGTATATTACTGAGTAAATATTAACAGTATTGTCAATCGAATTATGTCAAACTCGGAGTCCACATGCCGGTTAAAGATCGTCCGTTATTTACGCTTTCTAAATTTTACTGTTTGCAGAAATAGTTAACCTTACATATCTTAACAAATTTTCATTAATGAACCGCAAATGACTTAAGTGCGATTTTATCACCATTGGCGAAAGGTAACACAAACCGTATAACTCTTTGTCCACACAGTACTTAACCAATCCATTGACCTTCAATAAACCATTGCCACATAAAATTCAACGCTCTCTCTATGTATATTAATTTTTTTGTGCCGTGTTTACAAGATTTAAGATTAAAGTATTATCGTTATCTTTGTTCAAGTCAAGAGATGTTAATCTCCGCGAAGAGTAACCCACAATTAGGTAATAAAAATTTCCATAAAACTTCGACGTCACACTTCTCTCCACGAATTTGTCCCTCTTAAGCAACAAAAACATCCTTATCAGAAGTGTTTTGCGCTCTTATCGCCCCCACATAATAAAACCACCTTATTCTTCAGGTAAATGGTTTCCGCCTCAGACAATCACACCAAATCCCTAAAAATGGACAACATGGGTTTCCAAGATTCCACAAATTCCCGCAAGCTTGGAAGATCCGTCAGTGTGAACGCAGAGGTCGAGAGCTTCCCTCTTTACAAAACGCACACTCTGCCGAATGCTCTGCGATGGCGTCGACCTCGAGAGGACCCAGAAATCATGGTAGAAGAAGAGTTTCCGTCCGATGATTTCGAATACATGGAGTGCGGCCCGTCGCCACCTGCCGATCACACCCCCAACATATACGAGAGCTTCGAGGAGTTCTCCAGAAGCGAACTGACGGTGCAGATATGCCACGACACGATTCGCATGAACCTTCTCGAGCACATGAAAGTGTCGTCCGGGAGGCACCAGCTTCTGGACGACATCGAGAGCAAGAAGACCGTACAAGAGAACCTAGCTGAAGCTTTCCATGGTGCGTCGAAGCTGGAGATTAACATCGCTTTCTTGTATGCCGCTTTCATGAAGCGGTGGGACTTGTTGGATGGGTTGTTGAAGATGGGGGCGCAGATGAGGTACTACGAGCCCAGTCAAGGGTTGAGTGCGCTTCATCTTGCTTCGTTCAGCGGGTGCATCCCTGGTACTCAGTTTCTTCTAGCGCAAGGGTGCGATGTTAACGCCATCTTTAAGTGTTATACACCCTTGCACTGTTCCGCGTTTGGGGATAGTCCAGAGACTGCGATGATTCTTTTGAACAATGGTGCGAAAGTTCAGGCTTTGACCAACAGTCCGAATAATTGTCACGAGAGTGTGCTGCATTGTGCGGTTCGAGCCAACGCGATTGCTTGCGTTCGGTTGTTCACGGTGGAGGGGGCAGATGTGGGACAATTTGAGTATTCTGGACTGTCCCCGATTCATCTGGCTGCTGATTTGGGGCATCCGCAGTGTTTGAAAATCATGCTGGAAGCGAAGGGTAACAATGTCAACGGAAAAACGAAGGAAAAGGAGTTGACTCCTTTGCATCTAGCAGCGGAAGGTGGTTACGTGGAGTGTATAGAAATCCTTCTAGATAAAACCGCGGATGCCAATATTCGTAACCACAGAGGACAAACTCCTCTTCACCTGGCAGCACGAGCCCAAGCATTTGACTGTGTGGAGATGCTTCTAAGAAAAGGCAACGCGGACCCTAACGTCGGCGACTTCGACAAACGAACTCCCTTGCATGCAGCTGTAGTCAAGTCGGCGAAATCTTACGATATCATAGAAATTTTAGTCAGCTGGGGAGCTGACGTCAACACCAAAGACCAATACGGATATACCCCTCTTCATATAGCAGCCCTCAACGAACTCTCCCAGTGCGTCGAAATTCTCATCCACCACGGAGCAGACGTGACAGCTAAATCCAAATTCGGAATGACAGCTCTTGGGATCATCACCAGAAAAACCCCAGCGTCTCTAGCAATGGTGACCCACAAACTCGACTCCGCCATTACGCTTCACCATCACCCCGAGTCCTCGAACCGCGAAGTCGAACTAAGACTAGACTTTCGAAGCATCCTGCAGCACTGTCATCCCAGAGAGATCAGTTTCCTGAACACTTTCGTCGACGAGGGTCAAAAAGAAATTCTTCTGCATCCACTCTGCTCGGCTTTTCTCTACCTCAAATGGGAGAAAATCAGGAAGTACTACATCGCCCGGATGCTCTTCTGCTTCATTTTTGTTTTAAGTTTATCTTTGTACGTCCTCACGGCGCTAGCACATAATTGTTACAACCACGGTAAAAATATGAATGATACTCAACCCCAAAACGTGATCGAGTTGTGTGAGAAGAAGTCGATGATGGGACACATGTTGAGGACTAATCCGTTCGTTATCGAAATGCAATGGTTCGTGTTGGTTGGAATTACTTGCTGTGAGATTTTGCGTAAAGTGTACGGGATAGCTGGGTACCCGACTGTGAGGCAGTACCTGTCGCACCCGGAAAATATAATCGAATGGACGGTGATTGTAAGTGTGTTTGTTATTTCGTTCATTTATACTGGGAGAACGTACACTTGGCAGAACCACATTGGTGCATTCGCTGTCTTGTTTGGTTGGACTAATCTCATGTTGATGATCGGACAGCTACCGGTGTTTGGTTCTTACGTTGCTATGTATACCAGAGTACAAGGAGAGTTTGCCAAATTACTTTTAGCGTATTCTTGTTTATTGATAGGTTTTACTATTAGTTTCTGTGTTATCTTCCCAGATTCATCAACGTTTGCTAACCCCTTCATCGGGCTGATTACGGTTCTTGTTATGATGACGGGGGAGTTGAATTTAGATTTGTTGGTGGACGACGATCCAGAAGATCCTCCTTTCTTGTTAGAAATTAGTGCCCAAGTTACCTACATTTTATTCCTACTTTTCGTTACTGTTATTTTAATGAATCTTCTGGTTGGTATTGCCGTTCATGATATTCAAGGACTGCAGAAAACAGCAGGTTTGTCAAAGTTGGTACGACAAACCAAACTCATTTCCTACATGGAGTTGGCACTATTTAATGGGTATTTACCGCGGTACTTGTTGAATTTGTTACATTGGACGGCACTAGTGTCCCCCAAAGCGTATAGAGTAGTTTTAAATGTCAAGCCACTGAATCCTAGAGAGAAACGTCTACCCCGAGACATACTGAAAGCGGCACATGAAATCGCCAAGAAGAGGAAACTCTACACTCATACGATTTCGTCGCATGGTAGCCACACTAGGAAAATTATTAATAATAATATGGATCAAAACAGTGAGATTTTAGATTATCCTAGCGTCTTTCCACTACTTCAAAGCAAAATTGAGAAAAGCACCGAGCAGATCGAACACCTAAGCAAAGAAGTTAGGGAACTGAAATTAGCTCTTCAAAACAATCAAAAAATCATGGAGCAGTTGTTACAAACGATAGTGAATACAAAGAATAGCTCAAATTGTTAGTAGGAAAGTACAGACTGTGATTTTTATGATACTGATATACTGTATACTCTCATTGTTTTCAGATTTAAGGTAAAAATACGTACACAAAGATGTTGTTATTTATGTAACTCATTTATGTTAGTAATTAAATTTTTATCTTGCCATTAAGCAATGTGTGATATTAGTGAAATAGTGGTTGTGAGATTAAGTTTGTTATACAAATAGCGTCATCTCATATTGTCATACTTAGTTTTATAATGCTTGATATTACAGTATTAAGACCGTTCAAGTGCCTTATAGAGACAATAACGATATATGTATTGTTTTGATTACATGGCTTGTGAAATAGCTTTTATCTTTTTAACTGCGTTTTTTTATTACAAATTACCCCCCTCCCTTCCACCTTAACCACAATCATCAAAAAGGTGACATTTGATTGAATGATTGAGAAAATTGGGCGGAGCCTGAGTTATACAAGTGTACCTATATAATATATGAATTTTTTGAGGTTTTCAAGATTTAGAAGCACCGATTAAAAAAATTAATTTTCAAATCAAATTTTTCGAAAATCTTAGCTTTTCCGAATCAGCTCATCGAAATCTTATATACCAGAATTTTTGGGAATTTTTAAACACATTTTCAAAAATTTCGATTTTTCAGTATGAATTTTTTTTTCGAGATTTTTCGAAAATCTTGATTCGGTACCATTGCTGTGCTATATGTTTCGAATCAGCTTCTGGAAAAGTATTTCTGAGAATTTTTTGAGGACTTTTAGGCAACTTTTCAAAAGCCTCAATTTTTCAAAATTCTCATCCTGTATGATTTTTATTCAGTGATTTCCTTTCGCTGACCTGATCTGACCTGACCTGATTTCACTAGACCAAACCTGACTTGGCCTGAATTGACGTGAACTTTTTTGGGCGGAGGAGAAATCTTCAACTTCATCTTTTTGATTTTACCTGACCTGACCTGACCTGGCTTGAATTCGCTTAGCCGTTACTCGTCTCAAAACAACAACCATCTGCGTTGAACACTGTATCCTCATTTTTAACTTGACTTGACATGATCTGACTTGACCTGATTAGATTTGGCTTGACTTGAAGAAACTTAATTGTTTTTTCTTTCGTTTTCACTGGAAGACAAAACCATGGACGGCATCTGCTTTGAACACTCTGTTCTCAATCTTAAATAAACTGAAAATAAATTTATTAACAATCTTACTTCAAAATTGTTGGATATGACAAATTCTTTGTAGGTGGCAACAGTGATCTGACTTGACTTGATTTGATTTAGACTGACTTGACTAAACCTGATTTGATTTGACCTAAATTGATCTCATATTTGCGGCGGAGGGGAAACCTTCTAAAGGTTCCCCGCGCCTGATTTGATCTGACCTGCCCTGACATGACTTTTCACTTTCATTTGAAAAGAAATGAACCACCATCTGCGTTGAACACTATGTTCCTGATCTTGACTGGCCCTGACTTGCTTTGACCTGACTGAGCCCGACTTGACTTGACTGACTTGGTTTTACGTGACATGATCTGACGTTGCCTGACTTGACCTGACATTATTTGACCCGTTGTGAAAACAAGACTATATGTATATTAAAAAAAAACTCCATCTGTTCGGTAAACGGTCTTTACAACTGAGTGATTTTGTTCTGAGCTACTCATAATTTTATGAAAAATATTCAAGGAAAAACTTTTGTAGATTCTCTTCCCGTTGTTGTTCACCAACATGCACACTAAAGTCGATGTGGAGGCCTTTGTAGAGGGTGGCGGCACCTCCAGTCAAGCTGGGGCAATTAGGTGGGGTGTAGCATGGGGTTTGAGGAGTTTCCTAGACCACGAGACCATTGAAAAAATGCGATTAGGTTTGTATGCAACGACTTTTCAACAAAACCTTATTTGTACATTTTCACAGCTGGTCTACTGACGAGGGACTACCGCACAAAAGAACGACAGAAGCCTGGTCAAGAGAAAGCTAGAAAGAAATTTACTTGGAAAAAACGTTAAAATGTATTCTGCTTAAGTTATTAAATAATTGATCACATTTCATTTAGGGGTTGTAGACCTAGGATTTTCATTCCTTCTCCTAGAACGCGCCTGGCAGTGCTGAATAAGAGTAATCTTTGGGACGCAACCTCTGGATCTGCGCTCTTCACTTGTAACACTTTGAAGGCTCTGTTAATATGGTTGCTAAAATAATTCCTGATTAATAAAGCTGTAAATAATATGGAATGTGCTACCATAAGTGGAAGAGATAAGTTACAAGTAAGCACGCTTCTAGTTGCTCATTGGATCGGTATAAAATTTCCTGGAATCGTGCTAATTCCCTAATTAGAATAGTAGCTTCAGGTTCTAGAATAAGCTGCGGAGCTATTTTCTTAGGATTAAAGGCTCCGGAATTTTTTTCCAGGCTGTAGAGGCGGCAGTGTGTGTACTGTAATCGAATCCCAGTGTCACCCTGAACCTGCAACAATATCCCCAACTAGCTAGACCATGCCGTACACAGAAGTACGTCCAGAATTTTTACGTAAATGGGTGTTGAAGTCAAGACCAAAACTCCACGGAAAACGGAATTTCCAGTAGGTATAGACTACGGTGTAAAAATTCTGCAGGTACCCAGACAACTATTTAAAGTATACCTGCAAAACCTTATCCCATGTAAAGTCATAATCCTTCTGTCTTCTTTGCTTTAAGTCATTTATAATAACGCATGATACACCCAAAATGTCTGAAACGTTACTATTATCTATAGGCACCCTGGTGTCTAGAAGTTGCGTCATTAATAATTTATTTAAAATCCGCCACACGTCATAATCTTACTTGGGGACTCAATCTGTTTCTTAATCATCAAGTCCCTACATTCATCTAATATATCTTTTAAAAATACCGCGGTTCCTTTTCTCGTACTCATGCCGCGTATCCGCCCGAATTTTACATGAAAAAGCCTATCACTCCACGGGAAATTCATCTTCCGTAATACCGCTTTCAGTGCAGTGAAGTGATCACTCTGACTACTATCAACAATATAGAGCATTTTATCAAAGTCGTATTTATTGAATCTATCAATGGCCGCTGCCACATCTCGCGTTAAGTACAACGTGGAGCCGTCGCTCTTCACCAATGGAATTTTCTTACCATTGTCAACGTCTACAACTAACTTTCCGTCACTTTCTTTGTGTGTTACGTGCTTCTCGTTACAAAGATCAAGCACAGGTTGAATTTTTTTGGCGTTATACGTTGACTCAAAATTGTACTCATCAAAAACCACACCTAACCTTTTGTACGTCGCTTCGAGCTCCTGTTTGCTATACTGCATGTATTCCTTCCAGTGGTTTGCATCCTCAGGTGACCCTTTTTCCAGTCTGTTGAACTCCTGACGCGCTCTTTCCGCTACTTTTGGGTCTTTTTCAGCAAGTTTATTAGCATGGACATATGAATCATATAATACTTTCAGTGGATTGCGTTTAATATCTTCTTTTGAAGGTTTAAGCTCATCAACCCCTACTTTAATAAAACCAAACTGGGTTCCCCAGTCACCTAAGTAGTTCAGTTTTGTAACTTTGTGGTGTAGAAAGGAGTTTAAGTTGCCAATGAAGTTCCCTATTATGGTTGAGCGTAAGTGACCCATGTGGAAGGGTTTGGCGATATTTGGGGAACTAAAATCTATGACTAATGTCTTGGGTTTTAAATTTATGTCTGGTTGTGTACAATTCTCCAGCACATCTTGAATGAAAATTGTTTTTTCAATTTCGAAGCTTATTTTTCTGTTAGCGCGGTCTTTTTTCGTGACTATGCTCTTGATGATGTCGTCGGGCTGGATTTTTAGGATTCCGTTCACGTTGGGGACGCCCAGTTGGTCTTCTAAAAGGGTCAAAGGTAAGTGCAACTCGAATGTGTTTGTGACTGCGGTGTTTCCGACACAAATTAGAGGAAGTAAATCAATTGTGGTCAAACTGGTTGCTTTTGTAAGAGATTCGATTACCTAAAACATTTAATTCAAAAATGAGGTTAAACCGATTTTTAGGTTATAATAATGTAAAAGTTGAATGAAAATTTTACGAACCTTTCTGCCTAAGTATAATTTTAGTTTTGTTGACATGATTTTTCTTTTTTATGCAAGAATGTCTAGGAAATTAATGAAAATGATGAAATCAATACATGAATTTTGAGGTTAGAACAGACAACACTGACATAACAGAATGACGTTTGTTACATGTGGATGTAATCATGTAAACATGTCAATCAAGTTATGTAAGAGAAAATACGTTGTGTATTGTTGGTTGCCCGAACCTCATATTTAAAATTTCATAAAAGAACCTGTGTATAAATTAAAGTTGCCAAGATATTCTTATTTATTAGTGGCTTAAAATTATTAACTTTCGATTGGTAGAATTTTTAAAAAATATTTACCGGCCTTTGAGTACCGAGTGACCATTAATGACTGTGATTTTTTGTGTCAGGTTGGCAGCATATTTAAAATTTTATGATGGCATAGTCAAAATAAAATTTAGGGCACCTCATCATCTCATCACGTTTGTAAGGCGCTCATGTCAACGGTGACAACTCTAAGTTAACATCTTAACATTGCTGCCAATAATTCAGAATCACTAACATAAGAGTTTGCTTCAATCATCAATAATTTAGTTATCCGGTACCATTTCCGGTAATTTCCCTTTTTATTTTGTCACATTACAAAAAATTGTGTTTTAGCGAAATCAGCAGAAAAAAATATTTTAGTTAACTATCAAAATTTAATCCAAACTTTCAACAAAAAAATTTCAAATCTTGAATACATTGTGCAGATCAAAATTTGAAATACAAATATTATTGTATTTCGAACAAGACACAACTGAAGAGAGAACCAGGCTATTTAAAATAATAATAGCTTTCTAAACTTACCTACTAGATTATATTTCCTATAGATTAAATATGTAAAATACCATGATGAAAAGTATTTGAGAATTAAAAAGAATTAATTAAGCCCAGCTTGCTGAACATTTTTGTTTTTTGAAAAAAACAATTTTTTTTAAGCTCATCTAAAAAAAATTTTAATTCAGCAACATTTTTAAGGTATAACTAACTGTAAAATAACCTAGATAAAATAAATTAGAGTTGGCTAATAAAATCAAACACGTAGAGGTATTAAATGAATGTAGTTTTTCTAAAATTATTAACAAGTTGTGAAGTAAATTAACACTTTATACTATGTAAGCATTTTTATCTACAGCAGAGATAAATTTCACTTCATTCCAGTCATTTCACACATTTGAGTTAGACAGACAATTATATTACCCAGACAGACAATTATATTACCCACACACTTTTTACGATAGTTAAACAACTTGTTCATTTAACTAATTGATTGATTCAAACAAATTCTGAAATCATAGATAAAATTTTGTTTGTGTGTGTTCGGAAATATTGCTTTTATCGAACTTGTAATAGAATGTCAATAAACCTTTACCATTAAAATGAGTGTTAACTTTTACCGTTTTCTGGAAAAGGTGAACAAATAAATCTTGTTTTAAAATTTAAAGCAACAATAATTTTTTGATATTGTTTTTACTATAGCTCTGATCAAAACTGCATAGCAGAGATAATTGATTTGAAGAACTTTGGGATCTGACTGCCCGAAATATTACACGAACAAACAAATCGAAATGGAAATTTCTATTCGTCTGATTGTTATTTTTGTAGGTTATCATTATTTTTGGCGTTAGTATATTTTAATTTATCATGAGGTCATGGACACCACAACAAATAAATCAAACTGTTTTTCTGAATTTATTTATTGAATGATTTATTGTAATTTCTCTTGATCTTGAGAAATTATTTAAATTAATTTTACGTGTTTTAGCCATTCGCCAAATCGGATTACAGGTTCATCTGTTAATTAATTTTTTTATATAATATTCGCCGCTTATCTTTTACACAGAAATCTGTGTCAGCACTACAAAACCAGCCAGATATCACATGTTTTTAAGTAAAATCGTACTCGTGAATTTTTGTGTGCATGCTCCTGGTATTTAAAGCAAAGGTTACAGCATAATTTCAAAAAATTGTTGCGATGCTTCACTTTTACCGTATGCAACTTAAGGGTAATCAACATAGCTGAAATACTCTCAGTAATTAGAATTACTTACTTTTCCCAAAGAGAGAGGTGGAGAATAGTTTTGGTCATGTTAATTAATTAATTAATTCTGTGATTCCGCAATGACGTAACAGAGATTGTTATGGACGAATAAACGAATTGTTTTTTTTTTCTCCACGGACGAAAAGAAGAACTTTTATTTGCAGAAGTACCCTTGAACTGACACTTTTAAAGGACATTACCATGCCAAAAAAAAAGAATCAAGATGACACATGCCACTATCATTAAATCATTAATGTGAACTCGGTCTACAAATAGAATTGTGAATACATGTTGTCAAGGTTTTGTAGTGTTTGTTTTTTTTTTATTAAAAAAAAAAAACTGGAACTGCGTTAAAAAACAATGTCATGCTGTGAGACACTTGTGAATCTTGTTGAATAAATAATAATAAATTGACTAAAAAAAAAAAGAAATAGCAATTTGTTGAAAAAATACCGTACAAAATGACTGCCAAAAACAAAAAGGTAAAATATAGATATTTGAGATTCTCTTGGTTGGAATGTCGGAGTGCTATGAAACGTCATGTTGGAAAAATGTTTGGGGTCGTTCGTTTTCTGGTTCGTTGTTTCCCGAGCTTCGTCAGCCATATAATATGCATTTAATAACAGTGACTCTCAACATGTCGAAACTGCATTTTGAAATTTTACAGTTCTTAGTTCAAATACCCTGAAAAAAAAATTAAGTAAAAGAATGAACTCTAATAAGTTCTCTTCTAAATGAAACTGATAGTAGTTTTGAAATTAAAATGGCACATTGTCAGAAAAAGATATTACTCCAGTAAATTTACTAACTCAAAAAAACTTGTATAAATGATAATAAATTACTGATATCTTTTTTTAGAGTATTTTTATCTCTGTTAATATTTTAAAGATGTTACAACTAATAGAGACATACAGCAATCTAAAAATAATTAAAAGATCATTTTAACAGTTTGTATCTTGGACTAAAATTTCCACAAAATGTTATTCTGATTAGTTTAGATTGAATTTTGTTGTTTTTAACTTATTTACACGAGTTACGAATTTAAAAATAATTAAGGGACCTGTTTTATCACCTAAATTTTCTGAAAAATAAATGCGAATAAATTTTGTTTAACAGTTATTACTATTCGTCTAAAAAGCAATAAAATGTTTACGTTAATTTGAACAACCTGTTAAACAACGTTCACGTTGCATATATATTTTCCATGATTCATTTTCTGTATTGATAACTTAATTTAGAACGCTGTTTGCTAATGTATATTTTTACAAAACTAATAATGCGCATATACAAAAATAATATGTACAGTATTTACGATATTATCGAGGTTATAAAAATTGGACGTTTGATTTTATTGATTACGTTTAAGCTAAATATTATGCTTAGAAGAATATAGTTAGTGCATCGCAGAAGGTAATTGTTAGAACCGTCCCGGAAAGCTCCATTTTAATTCACTTTGTTAGGAAACTTACCTCTACTTTTATCTCAAAATTCATCTCGTTAAGTAAGGAAATGAAAAAAATATTTCTATAAATATTTCCTTTTGCATATTTTTTTATTTCCAACAAACGAGTTGTAATCTTCTCTAAGATCAACAAAATATAAATAATTCATTTCATAAAAAGAACTGAGTCATGACTTTTTGCCACACAAATCCACTAAAACTGTCTATATAAATGTTTCATTCTTGACTGACTCTTGTAGTTCTTTATTTGGAGGAGACACATCCGCTATATCTTACAACTCTTACTTGTCTTAACTTAATAAATGTTGTTTTTGTTCTCAAATCGTAACCTAAATATCCTTATGTCTATTGGAAAAAAATCATTTTCTGCAGTGACGAAATCCCATCGGCCTTTGTCTGACTCACATCCAAAAAACAAATTTGGGGTATCCGCGTGCCCACAAAAACCGGTACACATTGATTTACTGATACATCGACCTATAGCCCTCTTTTCACCTACGTCACTGTCCCGAATCCAAGAACCCGTCTAAAAGCCAGCAAGGTCACCTCGTAATTACATTCACCGCAACTTACGTAATCGATGCACTGATAACCCCGCTCGGGCTCTCATTAAGTCAATCAAAGACAAACACCTCGCGATTTTCCCACTTTAAAAATTCGCCAAAATTTCAAACTTCCCCGGAGCCTGCCGACCGCCGATCGGCGACCGTCGCCGCCGCCTCGTCGCCCCATTGGCCCGTCCGTTGCTAAGCAATGTGGCAACAGCGCGCACTCCTTCAACTTTGACGCAATCGTGTTCCTAAAGTGACAGTCCGCGGCCCGACGGTTCAGTTCGTGGTAATAAAGGGGCTCAGGAGGATCTGTGCGTGTGTTCGGGAAAAGTGCAGTGCATAGTGCTTTTTTTTATGTTGTAAGTTGGTAAAAAGTGCAATAGGTGCAACATGGCGGGAAGAATGGCAGGTCAGACTATTAACGACAGGCTGCTGGCGGCCAAGCACAGTCTCGCCGGTCAGGGATTAGCGAAGTCCGTTTGCAAAGCCACAACAGAGGAGATGATTGGCCCCAAAAAGAAACACTTGGACTGTAAGTGGTCGATTTTTCGAGAAAGACTGGACGTGGGGTCTTTATTGGCCGATGAGTGCTTGCCGGGAACAAATAGTCGTTGAGAGTGATAAGCCGTTATTAGGCACCTGTAGGAGTGGAATTATTTACCTGCTCTTTGGAATGTGGTTTTTGTGTCGGGTTTGTGGTACCGATAGGCTAAAATCTTGGTCCACGCAGTCGGGGATTTGGTTTTTGTCTTTGTTAACTTGGTAATCAAATAGTGGGCTTTTTGTTTTCGAAAGTCACCCAAGTGCCTGTTTTTCGGCGTCATATGATACATTGGTGATAAAATCATAAATAATTTAGAGGCAATGGAATCTTATCTATTGGTCGGTCGTTTAATGAGAACGATACGTCAGCTTTTACCGATACTGTGAACTTTTTAATACACTTTTTTCACTAATCAGTGTAACGAAGAGTGGATGAAAAGTGAATCACGAATAGTTTTTATGAAGTACAGGTTTGTGAATTCACATCCTGCATAATTTTCTGATTTGAATCACATTGAAAACTAGAAAGACAATGTGATTTTTTTAAAGTAGTGAATGGTAAATAATCACAATTTTATCACTTATTACGGAAAAACGTATAAAAGACGTCTACCGTTGCTATCCATAGCGTTGAAACTACTTACAGAAGAAAATGAATGACTAACAAGTTAATAATATCGTCAAAATGATGAATTTTGACGATAATAATGTTTTTGTTAAGTTATTATGACGTCATGCGCAATTTTTTAAATGGAAAGATAACATATCTGTCATTGAAATAGCATTTCCGAACACTTTCCTTAAACTTAATAATAATAATAGTCTTATCATTAGTGGGTTTCCAGATATTTACACTTATGTATATAATTTAGCAGAATATTTCCAACACCGGAAAAACTAACAAAGATAAAACTGTAGTAACAGTGAAAGCGAAAAAATCATGTTATTTTAAAAAAGGTGATGACGGGAGGATACGTCTGAATTTAAATATGAATGACGTCATCAAAAAATAGTAGTGTAGTAAAAAAATTCGTGATACTGCAGCCCCAATATAGTTTTTTTTTTGTGAAAATTTTATTTATGCAAGTGTATGTTTAATATTTTGGAAAACAAAAATGTTTCTGAAAATAAATTTAAATTTATTTTGGTTGAAATGGCAAGCCGTTTTTAAATATCATAAATCTCCAATGATAATAACACAATAAATAACTTAAATCTTATGGAATCTTATGTAAAGTTCGTTTAACGGGAATAGTACGTAGTGTCATAATAATAAACCCGCAAGATTTTTTAACTGATCACTGTAACGAGAAATGTATGCAAAAATGACTCACAAATGCGTATTCTTATTATAAAGCATGTCTGCGTATTGTAATGGATCTTATTGTGCAGTAAAGTTGTTAGTTTTAAATCGTATAATCAAAATTATAAAGATAAAGGTTTTCAAACAAAAGTAGTTTTATCATTTGTACACAGGTATTCAACAAGAAAATAACGCGGGGTCCACATTTTAGCTTGTTTTGTCTAACCATGCTCTAACATAGAAAAATTGCTTGATTCTATCAACTAAAAAGTTTGGAATTGGTTAAGATTCCCTGCAACGGTCGACGCGCCCTTTCCATTTTTTCGCAAACCAAGCCGATCCCTACACCAACTATGTTATGATCTGATGTGATTATCATTAAACATAACAACTAAGAACTATACCGATTAAACCAGCTTTCAAAACAGAAAAAAAAGCCTTGAAATCGGCTCATCCGTTTAGGAGCTACGATGCCACAGACAGACGACAAAAAAGTTTTCAAAACATTACGTTTAAAATGTTCGCGGTTAATTTTAGGTCCGCTGGTGTTTTATTTTCGGATAAATTTAAAGGAATCTGGTGTTGTGTTGCTGGATGAACTTGACAAAATCTTTGAGTTTTATTTTTTATGAATTTGAAAGTCTTGAGTGCCTCAATGTTTTTTTTTTTCTAATTGGGGAAACTTTTGGGTACCCATGGTGTATTATTATTTTGGGAGCTCCTGGAGATTTTTTTTGTAAATTATTTAAAACAATTTTAAGGGACTTTGTGTTCTATTTTTGGAAAATTCTGACCTCACCTGCTTTTGAACTAATTTTGAGACCCCGTTTTTTTTTTGAAAATTTACAACAATCTTTAGGTTCTAAGTATTCTTCTTTGGAAAGAATTTGAAAGTGCTTTGGAGCCTCTATTATTTAATTAAATTTCTTACTGGATACCTCATTTGCTAAAATCAGTCTTATCTTAGCAGGTACTAGCCCTTCCCACCCGCCCTCTATTTTCTTAGAGGGATCTCATTTGCCAAAATCAGTCATATCCTAGCAGGTACTAGCCCCGCCCACCCACCCTCTCTTTTCTTAGGGGGTATGTCATTTGCCAAAATCAGTTTTATCTTATCAGGTAGTAGCCCCCCTCACCCACCCTCTCTTTTCTTAGAAGGTATGCCATTGCCAAAATCAGTTTTACCTTACTGATGACTAACTTTTATAAAAAATGATAAAAATTTGGAAACATTACGAGCTTACTTATATGCACAAGGCCGGAAATTTGAACATCCTCTCTAGTGTTTAGCTGGTTATGCTTTAATGGATTTTCCTTTTGTTGGTTTTGTTTTTGTTTATAATTCATAAATGTCTTATTAAATGTTTTTTGTGGTTTATTTATCAATGAAAAATATCAGCTTGTTTTATTAATAATAATAAAAGTGGATTTCAGTCACCATTGTTACTAAGAAATTAGAAAATAAGCCGGAGGTATTCGCGTATTAGGTGCGTGCAGTGTTGCCAATTTCACTTTTATAAAATTACGTTTTTTTCGTAATCTGCATCATAAAGAACTTTTTTATTATTTTTTTGGACTCCCGAAACCCCCGTACATAACGTACTGAAGAGTTAATCCGCCATTTTCTAGATACCCGGTATAGTTTTTCATAATAAAATTTTGTGATGATATCATAAAGTTTTTAGTAAGAATAAGCAAATTAGCAATTAGCAATTAGTAAAAAAGAGATTCAAAAACGAAACGAAACAAAAAGGCGACAAAAAACCGGCAAATAAGGCGATAAAAATGGGACAAAAAAGTCTACAGAAAAGAGCAACAAAAAAGTGATGAAAAAAGAAGAAAATAAGATTGAAAAGGCTACAAGAAATAAAAGACAACAAAAAATATATAATAATTTTATTTATTTTATGACAGCTTCTATACGTTAAAAGATATAGAAAATACCAGTGAAAATGTATGAAAAAAATAGTTCTAACGTTATTTAAACAGGATTTCCCCGTCTTCGACAGACGATGGACAGATAGACGGACAGGCGGAAACGGAAGATCTGTTTTTTCATACTTTTAGGGTCATGAAACTTTGAGGTAGACTCTGTTACAACACTTCCTTAGTTTACTCTCGGGAAATATAGTACCCCGCAAAATTTTACAATTTTTTTTTTAGATATTCTTGTTATTTTTTCCACTTCGGTCCCTAATTCGTAATTATTAAATCAAAACTGGAAATTCTAGAACAAAAATCGACCAAAACAATATTTGTAAATATATTTTATAAGAAACTCTCACTTCAGAGCAAACAATTACGTCACTGGTCAAACTGACATATTGCGATAACTTAACTGAGCCTTTTCGTGTTATACAGAGTGGCCAAGTAATGCAATAGAAAGACTTTTTGAAAAATTCGTTTGTTTAAGCTGGTCAAAAGTAGAAAAGTGTGGATCATATTATTTTGAAATTTCATTCCAAAAATTAAACAAATGTGTTGAAAATACGTTCTAACAGGTATCCACAATTGTACACGATGTTAATACGTTGAAAAAATTCTGTTGGCCTAGGGCGATTATAATACATTCTGTGGCGAATACGTATTATCAAGTTCTCGAATCTTGTTTGTTACCTGGTAAAGCGTTTTTCCACCACACGAAATGATAATAAATATTTAATTTCTAATATACGGATGGTAAATGGATTTTCCGGACGGGACTAACATGCAACACTGTATACAACGTTTAGAAATAATCGTTCTTGTAGCGAAAAATATGTATTAATTTGGGTGGTAGTTGTACAGTCATATATAGGGTGCCATGTATGGTAGGAATATCGTGCAGATGGTGAAACGCTAACCAAAATTTCTCTAATCGTCCCCATTAACCGTAAATATAATTTAAATTTGCATAAAATAAGATACTCCTATAATTGTGGTTTATGAATCCGTGGTGTTTTTACCCTAAACATCCAAATTCTTATAACTGCTCACTTAAAATAATATTTCGGAACGTTTTGCTCCATTGAAATTTAATTAATTAATAATTGTCTCTTTAGTTTTGAGGAGACAAAATCAGTCAAATTTCATTGTCTTTTAACACAAATGTAGCCGCGGAAGCTTGTTATCTGAACGTGCTACAGTGGAATTTTTTGACCGTTAACATACACCCACCCATGTTTTAAGTAATAATTTCATCGTTAATTGAAAGTAATAATTTGTTTTAACAGACTTAAATTAAACCATATCCATATATGATTTCGTTCCTAAATATCAATATAGTTTTTTTTTTAAGATTTATAACTAGCAGTTGCATTTCCATGTACTGATAGTGCTCCTGGAATTTGATGAAACGATTCTAAATATCAAAATGGCAGTTCAGATTAAGATTTCCTTGAGTTAATTAATACATTATTCGTTGTTTCAACTTATCTGGAATGTTATGTATACCATTCAAGTGTGATTTATCTAACGTTATCCAGACAAGCCTGCGGTTTTTCTAACGACTTGTGTTAAATTTGCATCGAGAAGAATGTTGAAGTTCATTGCAGAAAAAAGTTTAAAATGACATTTATTTTCCCAAGAAGATGGACCAATCTTGATTGTTAATGTGGTTAGTTGACATTTCCAACTCCTACCATATTCTGAACGCTGATACTCAGCAAACAGGAAAACTACAGGAAAAGTCTTACACATATTGCCTT